AAAAAAAAAAACAAAAAAAAAAAACATGTTTTAGCGCCCAATTTGTTGACGCCATGTTATAAAAGAATCGGTTCATGGTTTTAGCCGTGCGTATATCGAGATATGGATGCACTTGGGAAGTTTGGAGAGCACTCAAAAAGCTAGAGTTGCTCTCGGCTGTCGCCTCGCTTCTTTCGATTCGTGCTCTCCAAACCTCCCGCGCGCATCCATAACTCGATATACCCACGCTAGACATGAACCAATCCTTAATATAAACCCTTTGTTTTGCGACGTTTTCGCTGCCGTTGTGGTTTGTACAAGGTCCCTGCTGTTGTGGTCTACAATAAGTCAGGACGTCAGCTTATAAGTCTTCTGTCTGCTTCTATGTTTACGATTTAAACCTCGAAGTCATTGAAAAATTCCAAGCAGCAGAAGTGCAGAATATCGTTCTCCACTCTTGTACAATCAATCAGAAAATTCTGTTCCATTCGTCCCAAGAAATTTCCAAAAATTCAAATCGGAATTTTTGTACGAATGGAAAGCGTCCTAGATTTTACGGAACCTTTTCTAAACTTAAATTTTGTTCTTGCTCTAAAAAGGTCGTACTAACTGATATTAAAATTCATAAATCGATATCAAAGAAGGTAACGAAATCAAACCTGTGTAACTTCCCAGGCTCAATTTGTATTTCTCTCCCTCACTCGCTACTTTAAAGGAATCGTATTCAGCGCAATAGGTGTTCCCTGAAAAGTTTTCCAGATCAACACGAAGTTTGTACTCTCCACGGGTAGTCAGATGATGTATCTTGTCAAGCCCAAGCCAAAATTCACCAGTCAGATTTCCAAAGCCACCTTTGTACTCGGTCCAGCCTCGGTAAAAATTCACCGAACCGTCCAGTCTCTTCTGGAACACTAACCACCCTCCTCCGGCTGTTGTTTGGTCACAGAACACCTCAATGACTCGTGCAACATCTGGGTTGTTCGTATACACACTGTTTTTCCTTTTTCTAGATTTGTAACGGTCAGTACACACTGTGGAAACTGTGGACCCCAAAAAAGTTACGATCCGTCATTGTAAGGCAATTATGTGGGAAATTCTATTAAACCATAACAATTTAATCGCAACATCACATTTTTGGACCCCACAGACATAACTCCTTTCTTATACTTGCCTCGTGTGAACGCCGACTGCACGAAAAAAACAAATGAAAAAAAGACTAAAGATCAAAAGGATGCTTGTAAATGAAATCGAAATGGGTCATTTGACTTATTTGTGGGGAATAAGATTTCAGATTTAAATTGTTGTTTCTCCTAAACATATTTAAGAGAGGAATCTGGTTGAACTTTGAGGAACTTTGCAGAACGTTAAAGGAAAGGACCAATAAAATCTGAAAATTAAAAGGTTAAATAGCATCAGCAAATTAATTATCCCCTTGCACGAGGACACGTTGGGTTGGCGCAGGCCTAGATTGAATTTGGCCACTTAACCCTCAGAAGAAAAAGGGAGAAGGAGGTGGAGCCACGGCAACTGCAAATTTCATGTAGGTCTGGCCAAAAAAATTTTTTTTGACATAATTTTTTTCATTTTTTTCCAGCTCTCTTAATTAAATTGCATAAATTAACCAATTTGGCTTGATTTGGTATCAATTTTCATTACTTCCTTTACTTTTAGTATAATCCAAGATGGCGGATATAAGATGGTGCGTCAAATGACGTCATTTGACGTCATATGATGTCATAACCAACAAAAATGGTATCGTTTTCTAGAGCAACCTCAGGGCTATCTAATCAATGTAAATTTATATCGCCGTGCCTTAACAGAACGAAACTCCAAGGGAGGGGTTCCATCCATCCCCTCCCCTTCTACCACGTTGGGGTATGAGTTAGCTTGTACGTCCGAGGGTTAAGCAGACAATAGATATGTGAGATATTTGTGTGAATAGCTTTTTTATTATGCCGTCATTTTAAAATATACTTTACGAAAGGCAGAACTACACAATATATGTACCTTGTTCCCAGTGTTCGCCATAAAATCCAGGATTACACAAGCATCTATATCCCTTGTCTGTAAACCCCGACTGACAAATGGCGCTGTGCTTGCCCGCGATTTCTTTTCACAGAAGTTCTTGAATAGGGAAAAACGCCAGAACAAAAAAACAAAAACAAAAACAAAAACAAAACAGAAACAGAAACAGAAACAGAAACAGAAACAGAAACAGAAACAGAAACATTAAGAAGGAATCCACCGTCTGGGCAACTGTATTAAATTTCTTATCAAAATAAATCACTTCTACCGAGACCAAATGGGGGAAACAAATTTTGAAGTTCATATGAAACACTTGAGAGTACTGGTCAAATGAAACTGATGATGAAATTTACCTGTGATGCCACAATTTCTAAGAACTTTGAAATTTACTTTCTCGAGTTCTCATGGTTAATTGTTTTTGGTGTTATTTCAGACAACTATTTACATCTTTAGCGTTTAGAAATTGCTCGATTCCCTATCGGATTTTGTTTTATAGTGTGTTAACTTTAATACTCTTTGACTTACAGGGTGAGAGTCTCAAAAGCTTCTTCCCCCAATCTCCCTTCCTGACCACAAAAAGCCTGTACCAGGTTGTTCGAAAAGTGGATAACGCTATCCACCCAGGGTAAATCACTATCGACTGGATAGCGCGGTTTGTTTAATTAACACTTATCCACTGGATGCCTTTATCCAGCTGAACTACTGGGGCCAGTTCTTAATAGGATTAAGAGAAATTCTGTGGTCACCACTCTTGATAATAACTTGTTAATTAAATAAACGAAAGAGAACAGCATATATGTCCTCATTACCTGTGCACCGCGATAGTAGAAAACAGGGTTATTAACGAGGTCTGCGTCATGTCCCGATGAGTAGAGTTATTAAGCTCACACGCATGTGTTCCACTTTTGGGATCCTTATCTTTAATATTAAGACTAACACAGTTGTCATCCAGGTAGCAAAGATATTCACAGTCATCTAGGTTGTTGACGAAAAGTTTTTTTATCCTGTGGTTCATTAAACGTCTTTCGGCAAAGAAGTAGTTGGCTGGAAAATACAGTTCACGATTTTGTCCTGAAATAAATATTTTTATAATTATTAAGATGCTATTAAACTGCAGCTCGAAGCCTTCACTGGAGATCAAGTACTGTGTAAAGAAATAAAAACGAAAGTCAACGAAATTCGACAAAGACAGTGGCGATAATCGTTGTACACCAACGCGTTCGACGTCGCATTGAGATCGCGTCGCGCTAGATCGACTCATTGGACGTTTCAGATACCCGTTTAAAAATTGAAATGGTCACTTTTTAACATTTATGTAGCCCAGCATACGAAACGTTAAGGATTAAACTTAATCGAGGGATTTTAACCCCATTCAGGCCTGGCATTGTTCGGTCTGCTGGGACTGCATGGGATGTAGGAAGGGAGAAAGTTTAACTCTTGGTGTAGGTGCAAGAATCTTTTCGTTTTTGAAGAAGGTCTTTGTTTTCCCCTTTCGTAATTAGTGTCTTTTGTATTTTTCCCTTTGTTGTACTTGTTACCTTTTTTACCATACTGTATATATCTATTGCATGCAAATCTATTTCAGTTGAGTTTTGCGTCCTTTCAGTGAAGAGCCGTCGAGTTTGGGCAATATTGTATTTTTACAAATCGGTTTGGTTTGATTTCTGTCGTCGTCAGATTCGTCTTGCAAGTTTCTTTGTTAGTTTGGATTAGGTTATTTTACATTTCAGTCGTGTCGGATTTTTTTAGTGACTGTTCATTAGGTTTTATTTATTTTCAAGTACCGTATCTTTGGCTTCGTTTAAATTAAAATTTGGGTTTGGCAAGCCATGGGCTCGAGTTGAATGCTTCTGTGACGACACTTGTAGCATTAAAGCCGGTTAATACTTCCAAAAATCATTCCCTGAGGTCACAAAATTGAACGATGAGGTCATATGACGTAAAAATGACGCAATATTTTCCGAACAGACGCCATTTTAACTCGTGAATCGCGTATCCAAGTTATTGGTTGTAGCAGTGGTCAAATTATGCCAGTGAAGGAGTTTGGGCAATATTGTATTTTTAGAAGCCGGTTTGGTTTGGTTTCTTTCATTGTCACATTCGTCCGGTAAGTATCTTTGTTAGTTCGGATTAGGTTATTTTACATTTCATTCGTGACAGATTTTGTTAGTTACTCAATCTGCATTAGGTTCTATTTATTTTCAATTACCGTATTTTTGGCTTTATTTACATTAAAATTTGGATTTGGCAAACCATGGGTTCGAGTTAAATGCTTCCGTGACGACACTTGGAGTATTAAAGCTGATTAGTACTTCCAAAAATCATCCCTTGAGGTCCACAAAAATGAACAATGACGTCATATGACGTAAAAATGACGCAATATTTTGGGAACAGCTGCCATTTTAACTTTTGAATCGCGTATCCAAGTTGTTGGTTGTAGCGGTGGTCAATTTTTGCTAATTAGGGGTCAACTTCCCCTCGCAATTCCGCTGTTTTGTGAGTGCATACATGTGCAGTCGAACCTAGGGGACGAGACAACTGGCCGCTTAATAGAGGTGGCCGTTTAATAGAGACTCACCCGAGACCAACGTTGGGCGTGGTCCAGTTTTCAGTTTGTCAAATATAAGTACGAACAAATGCAAGTGGAGAAAAAGTAGAATAATGATGGTTATAATACGATCGATAACGTTGACAAAATATAAAGAAACAGTTACGTGTAAAAACGCGACGTGTCTGTCAACCCAACACTGGCTTGTGTGCTGTATAGACAAACTAAAACGCTTCGAGACTTTGTTTTGTGATTGTTTTAATTAAATACTGCTGAAAATTTGTTTTTACAGTATTCCACATTGTCATTTTTTTATCTTCATCTAACTAAAAACTTCCAACTTCAATCAAATCGCTGAGAGTTGTTCCGGGACTGGCCGCTGGCCGCCAAATAAGGGTTTGCCGCTTAATAGGGAGCCGCTTAATAGAGGTTCGACTGTATACCTCTGAAAGAGTGTACGACGTATCTGCGAGTGTTGTGCTTAAAATGGCACCTTTAGTTAGAATAACTCAAATTAAAATGGTTGTTAAAACTTCTGTTAATCTGTTGATCAGGAAAATGTCAATGGCAGCTTGTTTTAATCGCGTGTTTAAATTTCCTCTGCTGTGAGCATGAAGCCCAGAAAAAAAGATGTTTATGAAAGCTTACTCTCAGAATCGTTATTTTTCGTAAAAGAAGCTTTGGTTGTATTTTTTCCGCTTCAAATATTTCAACACAGTTTTGGCTATTAAAAGGTTAATTCCATATTACGCAAAGGTTAGCTCATAGGGAATTCACGAGTTTGCTTATAGAGCACTTTATGGATCCACCAGCTTATAAACGAAAAAAAAAACAACATTAAAAAACATTAAAAACTAGTTAAAACGGATAAAGAAAGCCAAAAGGAACTAAAACAGTATTTCTTCCTGCAATAAAGTTAAAATTTACATGTAAGACGTCATTGAAAACGAAACAAGAAAATCGAAAAATATTCCTGTCAAAATATGATTGTCATTTGTCATCAACTTGCGTAACGAATAAACAGTCATTTTAATTTGGCCGCAGATTAATTTTTGGAAGAGTCACCACGTGCATTTGGAGTTCATTGCTTTAATTCCTGTTCAATCACTTATTTATTTCTTTGTTCACAATTCTCTTCGTGTAAGAAATTGTTTTTATATTTTTCTTTTAGTATAATTTCAGAGCTGAACAAGGAGTTTTCAGCAATCTGATTGGTTGAGCGGTCCCTTATATGAAGAGGATATTACACGGTGGCGAGAAGATATGAATTTTATGTTCGAGTGGCAAGAATGAGATGAAGTGAAGTGAAAGACTTTATTTACTTTATTTTGTTCTTGCCACGAGAACATAAAATTCATATCTTCGAGCTAACGTGTAGTTCTTTTTACTTTATAAACGTACTCATGACGGCGTTTTTGACGATTTTCCGAAGATGTCCGACCACTTTCCGAAGATTTCCGAAGATTCTCTATAACTTGTCCGAAGGTCACAC